GGCGCGGGACGCGCCCGGCCGGGGAAGCCGCACAGCCAGGGCGCCCTCGTCCCCTCCCTGACCCGATTCCCTGTTACCAGTCCAGCCCAAGCGAGAACGAAACTGCAGAGCTGAGGTCGAACTCTGGGCCAAACCAGGCCGAACTAATTCATTTTTGATGCAACGTCAGTATTTAAAACAAGTAATAATAATAATAATAATAATAAAAAAAACATCTGTTTTCTCTCCCTCTCTGGCCACGTTGACGGGCTGGTTTGGGCTCAGCGGAGGCCGGGCTCCTGCCCCCTCCCCACCACGAGGGATGCTCTTCTAGGGATTCAACTCCTCAAATACAATGATTTTTATTTAAGGAATTGGTGTCACTTCATTAGGATTCTGACGCTTGCATAGCCAGAGAACAGTTACAGGGTGTTGAGACTATACGCTAGCCTGCAATACGAAAAAATAGAAATAATGGAAAAAGTATTGGACGCTTTAATTCCATTAGATGGGCTGAAAATGAAGAGTTCGTTTACCAATACGACTCTAAACGTTCGCCTTGTTGTAACACGTTACCTGAACAGGAGCGTTGGGTTTGCGCGCTTCGGAGCCGATGACAGTAGCTGAGGGCTTCATGGCTTTACACAGCAAATGACAGCATCTTGGACTGGTAACAGCTGGATTCCTCCATCCATTCACCCCCTACTCTCTCCAGCCCTGTCTTTACTAAAAGTACTGAAATCCTTAAAAAACAGCGTAACCTTTTCTGCATGTTTCTTAAATTCTCTGCCAAATGTCTGACTCTGCCAGTTGAGCTAAAGGAGGCTTCTGCCTTGTCCTTCGCTCTTGAGCGATGTCAACTTGCGCAACCTTTATTTTTCCAAGATAAAAGCAGAATTGTAAGTAAAAAAAAAAAAAAAACTCAAACCCAAAGAATGTGTCAATTATTTAGCCCTAAAATTGGGCTGAAGTACCCAGGAGCCTGGCTGGTTCTTTTCACTGTGCTTAAAGCCTTTTGGCAGGTAATGGCTGTCGATTTACGACCGACAAGGTGGAATTCCCTGTGTCTTCCAACAAACCCAGTTTCTATTTGTTGAATGTTGCAGTTTGGGAGCGATTCCTCCTTCCGTTTTTCTTGGCTTTGTGTAAACTTGTTAAGAATGAAGTGCGATCAGTGTTGTCACTTAACTCTGATGTTGTCTCTTTTCCCTCCCTTTCTGCCTGCCTGCTGCTTTCATTCTGTAGTATTGGTATTTGCCATTCATTTCACCTTCTGCATCTATGCATCTCATGGTAGGTGATAGGCTTTTAATGTGAGCTTAGACTCTCTGTACCGTTTCTGAATGCTAAAACTGAAAGCAGAAATAAATTGTGATGGTTTATTTGTTCCTGAAAACACTTCCTTCAGGTTCTGTGAAGAGCTAAACCCTACTGTAGCTTTTTGTTTTGCAGCCTTTAATGACCGGGTCATCATCACTGGTCTGGGTTAATGCCTCCCAAGAAAATGCGGTTTGAAGTAGTTGCTTCTGGTTGAGGATCAGTGCCGGTGGTGGCTGGGAGAAGAGGCCTCTTCCCTTGGCGGTGTCTGCAAATCTGGCAACTGCAAAGAAAGCCCAAGTAACTTTGATCCTAGCCAGGCACAGAAAGCAGATGTACACAACACAGATCTGCTGAGCTGCCCTGAAATTGTCCTTGCTGTTCCTCTTCTGGGTCTGAGGGGCTGATTGTAACGTATAAAGCAAATTATGTGCCTCAGTAACTTTCTAGGGACCAGCTGAGTATTGTTTTTTCTTCTTAGAGGAATGTAAGAAATCTGTGAATGGACAAGCATTTTTTTTTTTTTTTGTCCAGTTGAAAGGACCAGAAATGGAGAAAGTGTTGCCCATTTGCAGCGCGTTCATGAAACACAGATAACAGGCAGTTATCTGGCACTTTGAGACAGTTTCCACCTCTGGGTCAGTGGTTGAAATAAATTCAGGCCCCTGGCAACTGCACGTTTTGCCATCCAGGAGGTGGCCAGTAGCATACAGAGTGACCTGGAGGTGTCGTTCCAGTTATCTGGGATAACTGTTATCTGATATCGAGTTATCTGCTCGTTAAAGCAGAGAGAGATGCTAATTGGCAGCTAGGAGTTGCTCAGAATGGCTACGGCAAGTGTGAGCAGCCTCCTGGCTTGCCTCTGCAGGTCAGATTTGGGGCACGCTGTGTGTTCGGAGAGAGGGAGAGAAAGAAAGTGCTCAGTCGTTCCTAGTCAAAGAGGATTTCTCTTTCCAAGGAGACTGAAGTTGCCTTGCCAAAATATGGACTGGGATCTCTCCTTATTAAGCAGTAAATTCCTTTGAGACAGCAGGTTTCTGTTCCCCCTCTCCAGGCCAACGGAAGCGGCGCTGGACACAGATGCAGCAGTGCTCAGTCAGTTTTCTCTTTGGCTTATGCTAAATGCCTTTTGCCTTTGTCTAGAACTCGGAGCTCTTCACGCTGACGTACGGCGCTCTGGTCACCCAGCTGTGCAAGGACTACGAGAATGATGAGGACGTCAACAAGCAGCTTGACAAAATGTAAGTGGATCTGCTGCAGTGGAGCCTTGCAGGAGCTCAGGTCCATGGTTTGGCACATCCGCGTGCTGCGCTGAGGATAGAAGCCTGGCAGACTGAATTTTATTTAGTACTGGTATCTCTCAGATTTAAGTTTTTTTCCTCCACTCTCTCCTTTATAAATGCCGGCTGTCTTTCTGAAGCCACACTCTTCCCACTCTGCAGCTGTTGCTCTCTGGTACGTTCACAGGGGTTACAACATAGGCGTTCGGCTAATAGAAGACTTTCTGGCCCGGTCCAATGTCGGAAGATGCCACGATTTCCGTGAAACTGCAGATGTTATTGCAAAGGTAACTGTCAAAGCACAGCTTTGTCGGGTTTTGTATGTGAGGATGGAGCATTTGCTACTCACTGGACTGTTCTGAGAGTTTGACTGAGGTTTTGGGGAGGAAAATGAGAGAATTAGATCCCTGACGACTGCTGACTGGTGGGACCTGGGAGGAAGCGTGGTGTTTTCAAAACCCTTTAGTAATTTGGCAAAGATGAAAGCTGTGCTGTGGCGTCATGGGACACGATCTTGTTCATACTCTGTTTGGCATAACAGATAGCATTTAAAATGTACCTGGGCATCACTCCGAGCATCACCAACTGGAGTCCTGGAGGCGATGAGTTCTCCCTGATCTTGGAAAATAACCCCTTGGTGGACTTCGTTGAGCTCCCTGACAACCACTCCTCTCTCATCTATTCCAACCTGTTGTGTGGAGTGCTGCGCGGTGCCCTGGAAATGGTGAGCCAGTGTCTCTCTTCCAGTGAGATAGGCGTACGAATAACCAGGGTGTCAGGAGACACTTCAGTGTCTAGTAGGTGCTTGTGACTTCTGTGTTTGCTTTGGACTTGAAATTTGTTCCCAGGAGAGGAGCAGAGCTCCAGGAGCGCTCGGCTGCTGTTGTGTGTGGCAGCTGAGTCCCAGAGGTGCTGACCAAGCCCCTTTGTCTTGTGACCCAAGTACAAGCACCAGTACCTCCTTGAATGTTTATGAAGCTTCAAAATCCTCACTTTGTAACTGCTGTCAGCCCTAGCTGGAACAGGAGAACGGCTGTGTCTCGAATTTAGGAGTCCATTCTTTGGCTTGATTATCTTGCTTAGCTAAATTTTTGAGGAACATATATGGAGCAGCAGGATGTGTAGCCCTGGAGTTAACTGGGCGCTGATCACTGCAGGGAGTCCTGGTTCTGCTGTAGGAGGTGCATTTGCCGATTCGAGGTGCCCGCTGTCCACCACGGAGGCCACAATGTACAAGGAGGATGTGATCTTGAAAAATAACGAGCGCTTCCCTAGAGCCCTGAATGGCATGTCACGCCCTCAGAGTCCTTCAGCCGGTGCTTCACAGCCAGGCAGTTCCTAGAAAAGCTGCAGTTGTAAGGGAGGTAACGGCTCTTCTTCTTCCTCTTCCATCACCTAGGTTCAGATGGCCGTAGATGTCAAATTTGTCCAGGACACGCTGAAGGGTGACAGCGTCACAGAAATAAGAATGAAGTTCATCAGGCGGATTGAAGACAATCTTCCAGCTGGCGAAGAGTGAATCGCAACCCAGCGGCTCTTTGGGACTGGAGGGGAGCGGCTGGTTTTGGCCATTAGCTTTCGTCACAGATCTGTAGGGATGTAGCGCTTTCGGCACAGGTCTGTAGGGATCTAGTGCCCCTGTACGTTCAGACTGACTCACTGACTATTTAAGATGTTGTTATATTCTTCTACTGTTCCTGCCATCTTCTGTAGAAGACGATTGTCTGGTTGCTGTTTATTTCACAGGTTCATTCTGAAGTTTTTTCATAAGGTGATGTCTTTTTCCTATTCCCCTGGGGACTCTTTCTACGCTCAGTTTCTAATTGTGACACTTGGTTGTGCGAGAACTACTGCTCAAACTCTAGAAGGGCTCCAGTCTGTTCAAATCCGCATCTATGGTTTATTACCAGAATTGGAGACCAAGCTATGAGAGCCCACTGATTCACTGTTAAATGCTCTGCTTAAAAAGAGGTGTTTGAAATTAATTCGGAGATAAGCGCGTAGTATTTCTGTAGACCAAACTGTCTTCCTGCATTTGATTCTGAAGTTGCTAGTAACATAGAAGCTTGATTAGAGAGGGGTGGTTTGGGAGAGCTCTTTGAGCGCTGGCACCCGGCGGGGAGGCGTGTTTTGTTGGAGAGCAGTGGCGTCACGCAGCACCGGCGGGATCAGGAGGTCCCTGTGGCCTGGGCCTTTCCGCAGTTCCTCTTCCCCAGCAGTCTCATGACTCCCCCTTTGGAAGGGGAGGACCATTACATTGCAGTGGAGCAGCAGTGAATAAATTAAATAAACCCCAACGGTTCTCTGCAGTCTGTACAGCCTGGGGGCCACGTGGCAAGTCCACGGAATGAAAAAGAAAGCTCAGGCTAAGGACGGGGAGGTATTAAATGCATTTCAGCAAGTAGAGTCTGTTCTGTTACCGTGTCTGAACACTGCACGGTGTGGAGGTGGTGCTGGGGTTCATTCTCACCGATGTTTAGGCTACAACAGAATTTCCCGTGTTACTTGAATTGGCAAGCTTCGGTCTGTAGCACCTGCTGTTCTGCCAGATAAATACACAAAGTAGTGTAACATCGAAAGCAAGATACTGGAAAATCAACCTCCGCTGCCGTCCCGTTCAGCCAGAAACACAGTCAGACGTTCAGTTCTCAAATCACTTTACATAGCATGAAGGCACAGATCCGCAGAGGTAATTAGGAGCATAAAGGCAATAGCTCTTCCTTCCACGGGAGCTGGCGGCTCAAATACCTTTGTAGGTTTATGCCTGAGTGTAAGGTGAGAGAGAGAAGGCTGCTGCTTGTGCTGCTGGGCATTGCGGTTCTGCAGATAAACGGTGACTCGCCTGGACGTGGTTGGCTCACCCCGTCCCTTTTTTGCCCGCACAAGTCCCTTTGGTGGAAGGGCTTGGGTGCCCTGTGTGGTGTGTCCCGTGCGGGGGCAGCGAGACGCTGCGAAAGCAGCCGGAGAATGACATCGAGGAGCAGCGGTGGGTTTCGGAGGCAGGGGTGAAAAAGATCCGCCATTTCTCATCATTGACCATTACAAATAATTTTAAGGCTGCATTTTAAGAGCAATTGCATTAAAAGAATCCTAGCGGCAACTCTTTGGTCCCCTCTTGCCTTTTATTTTGTTAGTGATGCGGGCGCTGGTGTGGAGCAGCAGCTGAGCGGGGCTGGCAGGGCGACGGTCGTGCCGCCCCAAGAATGTCTGGCTGCCGGCGCATGTGAAAGCTGCTGCCTGAAGGAAACCTGCCCAATATTCAGGGCACGGAGGGACTGTGGCTGGGGGTGGGACCCGGGGGCTGACGGGCAGCGCTGGGAAGCCAGACAGTCAATGTTTGCTTGTTTGAGGACTGTCCTTTTTCTGCCCCGTGAATACCCGTGCGTGTACGGGACTTGCTACCATCCGCCCGAGGCAATCTGCTGCGCTGAGAGCTGAGACGTGCTGCTGTGGTCATACACAGTGGCAAAAAATCACCTCGGGAGGCATCTGTGCCCCCTGTGCCAGCTCGGCACGGGGGCTGCTCTGCGGCTGCCATCGGCCACGTGCTGCTGCAGCCATCGGCCACGTGCTGCTGCAGCCGGGAGCATGCAGGTGAGGAATGGCAACTGCTGGCCCTCCAGGAGGAGGAACTTGCACCCTCCTTGCTTGTATAAATGGTGTAAATGCTCCCCAGGAGCCTGCGGCATGAGGGAGACGCCCCGCAGCGCGTCGGTGGGCATCACCCCTGCTCCGGGGGGGCACCCTGCAGCCTCAGCACTGAGCTCCCTGGGCTGCACCCCAGCCACTGGCAGCCCCAAGGATGGGGAAGCGGCAGCTTTTGCAATAAGGTGGCTTTTCTCTTTGGCTGGAGCCGGCGAGCATCACGTGTCGCCGGCCTGGCCAGCAGCAAGAGCCAAGCCTCACCAGCCAGAATGGCCCCAAACGGCCCCAACGCACGCGTGGCTCCTGAAACAACCTCTGAGCAGTGGCTGCCCCGGGACTGTGTCCCTGGGGGTTTGGAGGCAGGGAGGCCCTGCGTCCTTGCTGACGTCGCAACTAAAAGGGGGTTATTTTGCAACGATGAGCTCACGCCGGGTCCTTTTCCCTCCTCCAGCAAGCAAGGGAACGTGCTCTCCCTCGTGGGGAGCAGGTCCCAGGCTCCCGGTGCCGGCCCCCTGGGAATTACGGAGCTGTGCAGTAATTTGCCGGGGTGACTGGGTCAAAACCAGCCCAGACCCTCTGGAAGAACAAAAAGCAAAAATTGCATTAAGTAAATTAAAACTGTCTACTACCGAGTAGCTCATTGTAGACAAGGGAGAATATGCAAAAAGCTCTGTTTGAAACCTACTAAATATTACCATGTGCTGTTTATAGGAAACAAATGGGGAAAGGCATGCTGCATCAATAAAACCCCGAACATGGTTGGAGTTGGACTAAAGCCTTTCCACGGCTCTAGGTTATTGAATACCCTTCGCTTTCATGTAGTGCCAGGCCTGACCCCTGGACACATACCGTGAAGGAGAAAGTTAACTTGTGGGAATAATCGACATTCCTGGTGAACGATTTAACCTGGCAGGAAAAGAGGCAACTTTCAGCCTTTCATATCTCTGCGTAATATTAGAGATGACAATAGCAACGAGGCGAGGGGGGGGGACACGGGGCGGGAGTGCTGCCGGAGAGCGATGCTGCAGGGC